TTTTTTTTTTTTTTTTTTTTATAGGATATTCATGAAATGCTAAATGTGCAGTGGTAGGATTGTTTATATAACTTACACTTAAATTATGATGTAATGTTTTATACCCTTCACTGGAAATTTAATTTTAGTTTGAAGCATTTTCCAGATAGAGAGTTACAACTAATCGTCAATTTATTTTACGAAAAATTATTTAACCTGATGAACTCAGTTACTTTTGATACAAATTTTTCTTGAAACACGAACATTTTCTTCTTTACGTTGTTTTTAACACAAACAATGATAAAAAATCTTGTTCCAGTTAATTTGTATTTCTGCAACCGTTGTTGAAAAATTAAAGATACGGTTGGATATTAAGTGCTAGTGTTGGTGTTTTAAAAGTGCTAGTGTTGGTATTAAGTGCTAGTGTTGGTATTAAGTGCTAGTGTTGGTATTAAGTGCTAGAATCTATACGGACGGTTTGTTTTATGAGAGAAGTACGTGACTTAACAGAAACTCATGGTGAGAAGATATGGAGGTATCCATGCGCTGAATTATCATTAGGAAACAAAGAATAAGCAAGCAAGCAAGCAAATGATAACTATAATTGAAGTCATACTAACAGGAGACTTTGTGTTTGTGAAGCCAAGAAAGAAGAGCGATGGAAAAATGATTAAGCAATAGACCGCACTTTCTATCGTTTTACCGGCGTAATAACCCCGGACGGGATGTTGGAAGGACACGGGAAAAGTTTGTTGATCACGAGCCGGAGGCAAACAAAATAACTATGTTGCAATTTTCTATGGGTTAACCGATGCAATAAACGATAGGTTTGTGACCAACAGGGCGCTCGTTGTACCTTAGTCATTTTATAAACGAAATTAAAGCACACATTGAACTTACAAATCGTTCAGCTGTGGTTCGTGCGAGCACTACGTGACTGCAATAGAATTGAAAGAAAGAAAATCTGAAATCAAGATACACAGAATGTAGTGGAACTAATAACACCCCATTGGCAGTTTACTAAAAGGAGACTTCCGTTCATGCGAAACAGGAAATTAGAACGTTAGAGAAATAAAGGGAATGTGAGTGGAAATTGTGCAACGTGGAGACCTAGAATAAATCCGGCGAAACGTGTGTTTGATTCGCTTCCGTGTTGGTAAATAGACTGTCATAAAAAGTTAAAGTGCTAAGAAACGTATATAAAGGGAGGGGACGGGAGTGTATGAAGTAAAAGCTATGAACATAATAATAATAATAATAATAATAATAATAATTGTTAAGGACATTGGCCAGAAGGCTCATTTTTTGATTGATTATTGATTAGTTCACTAATTTCAGAATGATCTTAGATAGCCTCATAGTTACAATGCTTACCTATTTTTCTGTATTTCTATTGGTTCTGTAATCGGACCTTTCAGTGTCACCACGCGCATATAAAAGGCAAGTTTAGCGTCCCTTTAATCAGTTCTTCGTAAGTTTTGAATAGTCTTGGTAAACTTTCGCCCTCTCGTTTTCTCAACCTTACGCAAAATTCTTTAACCAATGTGAGTACCTTTGTAACTTTGTTTTATCCTTTCCAGTCTTTTTCACAAAAGAAGCGTAAGAGTCGCGCGACGCGAAGCCGAGAGCGACTCTAGCCTCTTGAGTGCTTAGCAAACCTCCCAAGTGCATCCATAACTCAATAGTGTACGCTGTGGTGTTTACCATTTGTCTTATAACATAACATTGATACATTGTAGCTAAAGAGCTCCCTTTTATTTAACAAATCTTACGTGACCAGAAAAAACAAGCGCGCGAGGAAAAATAGTCTTTGCATTTGCTCACGTCAGCAGCGTACACCCATGGGCAAATGGGGAACGCTAAATTGACCAATCAGAGCGCACGCTTTACTTTGGTTATGTTATAACCACTATTGAGTTATGGATGCGCGCGGGAGGTTGCTAAGCACGAAAGAAGCGTAAGAAGCGTTACAGTTTAAATCATATTACTTTACGTTTTTGTTTTGAAACTGTATTCCTATCTACTTAAAACAAAGTATTTTTCAACCTCTTGTAAACAGTTCTTATGCATATCTATCACATAAAAGGGAAAATGATATAACTTGAGATGACTGTGGTTTTTAATCTTGATTATTTTTTAGTTATCTTTCGTTAAAATTCGAAAACATTCCTCAAGCAAGAGCATATAAGGGGCCGACCATTTAACTTTTGAGGGGAGGGGGTGGGTGATTTTGAAAAAAAATTTCCTGCAAGCGCTTGTTGGAAGTTGCATGCAGCCCAGGTGTAACAGAAAAAATGTACCAAAAAATCGGAAAAAATATCCTGCACAGCAGATTGCTGGAAAAAAAATTTCTTGACGACCAGAAATCACCCACCACCCCCCCTCAAAAGTTAAATGGTCGGCCCCTAAATACTGACGATTTTTGATGAAGTGTAGGCCAAAGGAATAAAGGTAAATACCACAGGAGCCCTTAAGAAAACGAGTTTAAAGCGAGAAAACGACTCAAACTTGAGAGACCAAGTCGCTTCAAGCTTAAGTTTTGCATCTGATTATGTGGCGTAGTGAACTTCTGGTATCACGAACAGTCCAGTCCAGTCCAGTCCACGGGCTTACTTTTCTGGTCTTCATTTTAATCAAATCTGGCATTTATATTAGTAGTGCGGTTTCTTCATCCAATTACTTTTCATTCGGATATATATCCTCAAGAATATTACTTAAGAGAAAGGGTTTTATATTGGTGTGAGAGGTTAGTTTTCATGACAGCAATTACCATCTACTTTTAATCCCGCGTTCACAGAAACTCAAGGACTGTCAGGCCGCTTATTGGCTATGAGGCAAATTCATTTCAAATCTTTCACCAGCAGACTGTTTTGGCCGCGAGCGTTACTGCCATGACAGTAGAACAGTTTCTTTACATAGGTGCTGAAGTCTTTCATCCGCAGCATGTATAAGATAAAGTTTACGACACCGTTTGACATGAGAACACTTCCTATACTTTTTGTTACATAATCTGTTTGGAAATCAAGTGAAGGCCTAGTCATCACAAAATACGCCCCATGATAACACAATTTATAACATAACCAAAGTAGAGCGCGCGCTCTGATTTGGTCAATTTAGCTTCCCCCATTTGCCCATGGGTGTACGCTGCTGACGTGAGCAAATGCAAAGACTATTTTTCCGCGCGCGCTTGTCTTTTCTGGTCTCGTAAGATTTGTTAAATAAAAGGGAACTCTTTAGCTACAATGTATCAATGTTATGTTA